CAGTCATCCTGGTGGTTTTGTTGTTTGGATGCGAACTGTTTTAGTTTGGAAAACATGTAGTGATCCACGCCCTTTTTGAAATCGATATTGCATTCTCCCATTTTCTTATCGCGGAACATTTGCTTGGTTTGCGTACGCCATTGAGGCCTGTCATTAATTCGTGTTTTTATGATTGAGCGTCCCAGACCCCCAGAAGCATTTTCATTTATTTCAGCGGCCGACGTGCATTGTGTGCGGGTTCTAAAAAAAACACAGCATAACACTGTAGCACTTGTAGATGTTTTCTCTTGCTTCTGAGGGGTCACCACTCGAAAGCTAGTACTAAACAATGCGAATTAAGTAGAGATTACGTTCGCTTTATATCAGTATCGCTAGCCCACCACATATTTCTTTAGTTTGTTCAAGGGAAAAATTTTGATAAGTTTAGGCTCTCACATTGTGCCGATGCCTTTGTAGAGCTGAAGAAAATGTCTAAACTGTCTTTTTTTCTCGTCCTCAAGGTCATTCGGAGCAACCACTTCACCACTGCGGGAGCCGTTCAACTCCAGTACGACATAGCACAATGCCTTCGGGCGGTTGTTCTGACGTACACGGAAAGAGCCGAAGAGTACATTGGTGAATGCCTAGACGCCTGCAAGCTGCTCACACTGCCTATGGGAGTAGCCGAATTGCTCAAGGAGGAACTCAAGCAGTCTCTGACTCCCGGTTCTCAGGCCTCTTCTACTCTCATGCCCCTCATCGAGTTGGGCATATCAAGGTTGAGCCCTGATGAAGTATACGAAATCCTCTTGCTTCGCTTGTAGTTTCCTGCTCAAAAACTGGCATCTAATTTCCTTGATTTAGCGCTGTGATACGGTTATTTTGAAATAGTACAATCGGCTTGCTCGTTTCCTCTTTTCATAAGGTATTTCGGTGTCTATGAATGCGTGGAAGTCTTAGATAGCTAAGTAGGAGGGGGCTACACGTCGTAGTTCGTCTAATGGGGAAAATTTCCTGTGGAATCGGCTAAAAGTTGGTTAAGTCCGATGAGTGAGCACACCTCATGTCCAGTCTCGCACCAAACTAGTTTAAATTGGTAGAAGATGATGGTGTTAACTGAGTTATGTCCATGTTGTCTTATTCCACGCAGAATAGCATGGCCGGTGTTCTTCATGATCTGATTGTCGGCAGGAGTCAGTTAGGGCTACAGGCATCTCGTTCCCGACAATCAAGTACAGTTTTTTTAGCGGACGTGATCAGCGTGTACTCGTAAACAGTCGGTTTATCGGCTTTCGGTATATACAGATGACTTACGATTTGGGAGCGAAGTTGTTGACGTTAGTGACGATTTCTCCTCCCTTTCTCTCCTATAAAGTGAGAGACTCGCTTTTACAGACGTCGAACGCAAGTGGGATGAAAATTGACCTTGTAATGATTCCGTTTCTGAAGAGTAAAACGGCACTAACATCCAATGTTTCGTAGG